AGAGAGAGAGAGAGAGAGAGAGAGAGAGAGAGAGAGAGAGAGAGAGAGAGACACATACACACACACACATACACACAATAAGATAGATTTTTTAACAAAGACAACGAAACTAGAAGTTAAACAATTCAATAAAAACGGCCTTACCTTACTAGACGTGTCGTCATAATCCAGCAAGGACTGCTCATCTCTCTGTGTCTTGTATATTACTCCAAAGAGAACAGGTCTTGTCCTGAGTAATATCCAACAATCTATGAACATGTTCGTGGTATCCTGCCGCAGATCTCGATCTCCGAATCTGTATGTTCAGCTTAATGATCTTGCTGCTTATTCCAATTCTGAAGTATTACATCCTGATCTAACGCACACGCACACACACACATGCAAAGCCCCGAGTAGCACGTCGTGGTACCATGATACAGGGTGATAAAAGTAAATTCCGATCCCTCACTTTCAAGGCACATGAAAAGCGTCTTTTGACCATGGAGTCATGGCGGTCCGAATACAATCCATCACAAAGAGTGAGGACCTAGGGTGAGCATACTGGGTCAAGTAAGTTCGGAACGGAGGGTTCAAGTTCACTTTTACCCTTAACATATTATGATCCAAAGTAAAGGAAATACTCATCAACATACACACACATCAAAGTTAACACGCTATATCCTGATGCATTCCCTCACAGCTCTACATTAAATCCCATAACGTATCCGTTGTCTTTGTAGGGAAGAAGCCTGGTAGAATTTGGCATCTGAGCAGAAACAAGAATGACGAACTTGGATATGCCAATGCCTGTTTCAGATCCGGCACTTGAAACTGCTGAAGAATAATCCGTGAGTTTTTATTCTGTTTCTGTAAGATAATAAAAGCATCCATGAAAGAAGAACATTTGTTGAAATCTTTAAAATACAGGAGATATTCCGCCCCCCCCCCCCCCATACATCCACACATCCACCCGTTTCCAATATTTTTTTCTTCAACAATAGTCTAAACTTCCAATACCCAGACTTAAATTACTTCCATCATTCACGCAAGCATTAAACCTGCATTCAGAAGCCATATATACGAAGGCAACACAAGTCTTATTCTTCGAACACAAGGAATGTTTTTGACCATTATCAAGAAAAGTAGCAACATATTGCTACCTTAGAGTTACAACGTTCTATCTGCGCACTACCTAGTTTTGAGAAATTTCACGAAAAATGTTTGACTTCCACAATATTTTTAAGCTTTCTTTAATGCAAATTTTTGAATATCTTGATAACGGCTCTAAATAATCTGAAAATTTTGATAGAACAGATGAAGCTATAGATTTCTGATCTTATGTTCTTAGTAACTCGAAACGGCCAAACAATGCAGGATATAACTTATTAATTCCGAGGTTGCGATATTATGCGGTCCAAACAAACGCAAAGAAGCTGAGAGCTGGACTTTATCTACAAACAAGTACTCGTACTTTAAGTTATTAGTTAAAATGTTCTGAACAAGAAGGTTGGGGGCCCTCTACATTGTCGGCAAGCTGCTCAACTATTCTCAGCACAGAACCTAAAACTCTTCAGGGGAGAAGGGAAATAAAAACTATTTCATTCTTTTAGATATTGTCATTAGGTTAGATATCTGTTCTTTAGTTGTTGTTTTTTTTTCACAATTAAAATTTGAGTATCGACAAAATATTTCTTGAGCACATGCAGCCGTATTATAGATTAATTAACTGCAATGAAAATAAAACAACAACAAAGATCAACATGTTGGGCTTGGTAAACCTGAAAAGCTGTCAGACGAAATTATGTTTTAAGGCCCCACCGATATGGTGTAGATGATTTAAGAGGCGGGTTGTACTGCTCCTTCATGTGGAAGCAAACCTGGGCTGAGTGGAATATTGCGTCCAAGATGGACAGACCATTTTAAAAGGCCTTCCGACACGGGAACTGAACTCGTACCTTGTGAGTGCAGCGGCAAAGAGCCCAATCATTACACAAGTTACCCAGGTACATGGGTGACTGTGACCAAGCCTCATGTCCAGCTGTTGGGTACGAAAAAAGTCCCAAAATAGCTTTAATTCGATATTTAATTTATTCACGAGTCATTTTAAAAAAATGCAAAAACCATTACGTTAGATGTTACAGATTTTTTAATAGCATTTTTTATAAAATCAGCTTCAAATTCTTTTGCTATTAAACTTTATTTCTTAAGGATTTAAGTTAAAACCTAATCGCATCCGTGATATAGCGAAGACTGTCACGCTTATTAGTTGATGGAATTTTATAAAATTTCATTCATATAACAAGCATAGTAAGGAGTTTTAAAATCTGCAATCAAATTTCAGAACAAAACTTTCGATTTGTTGGATACGGTGGCCGTATTGGATTGTGTTGACAAGTCTTACGTAATGAATGCCGCACTCATTTTTCTTGGAAATAGAATGCCTTTTGTGCATGCATGTTAGCAAACATTAGATCTACACACAAATTTATTCCTGTAAAATTTATTTCTATTAAAAATTCGTAAAGGTTAGGTTAAAAATGGTGCAGTTATTCAAAAAAGTATTTAGAAAACCCGCGTTTTGTGAAAACGGGCGATAAAGAAAAGTGAAAGATTCACTTTTAGAGGAAATGATGGTGAAAAACATGCCCGGTGTAAGAAGAAGTACGACTTTAGGGATTCTATTGCGATGAAATATTTGTAAGAGGCTGAAGAAGCTATAATGCCTACTACTCAAAATCCATAATTTTAAGCCAGATAGGGTCTTTACTGGCGTCTTTTTTGTAGCAGAGAGAAGGCATGAGTTCGATTTCTGTGTGGAGATTTTTTTGTTTGTTCATTTTTTGCCTCCGCTTTTGTTTGGTTTTTAAATAAAATATCCCGGTCTTTCTGCTGGGGAATTTGTATCCAACCCATCCTGGGTTAGTCCTTTCAATACAGGGTCAAACCTTGCCTCTTAAGAGATAATAATATAAAGTATGTTGATGGGGACGTATAACACTTACATTAGAAAAGAAAAGTAAAAACGATATGAAGCACGAAGGAGGAATTAGCAGGATGTCTACACAGAATAATTCCTCAGCGCGTATCACTGGGGGATCACTCCCACACATTCCTGGGTGAAGTTGAGTGCTTCCAGGATTCAGACTCTGCAAATTGAATTTGAGCTGCATGTCTCTTTCGTGATGTTACGAGGAAACGAAAATAATAATTAATTCCTGATTCTAATTCTGGACTATATTCCCATGGATTTTATCAACTCTGATCGTGTGTGGTTGACGGGTGTTCTGATATGGTCTGCTCTTTCTTTCTAATGAAATATATCTCCTCCTTCTTTTCTTTATATGTTACTTCCAAATAACACCTCTTGCATCCCTTACATCGTCTATTTGAGTTACAAGTATCGTAAAACTCTTACTAAAATATAACTACATCACGTGATCATACTATTCCCTAGAAGCGTGGCACTGACAGGAAACTGCACTCACGACTCCGGGTTGAAGCACTTTCATTTCTTCCTTTCCTGGGTTATACAGATCATGATTGATGTGACATACGTCACTGTGATTGAAAGAAGACCTGGGCACAGAATTTACACCAATTGTTCTGCAAAATGTGAATGTGAATCTTCCTCAGACTGGTATAACACGTTTGCATAGAAACAGAAATAATAATGATATGAGCCTTTTTATATCTGCCCTTTTCATATTCACGTAAGCATTTCATTCTTTATTTCGCAAGACGCTGCTGTTTTCATTTTTATCCATACAGTTTTGTGAACGTCCTCACTTTTAATGAGAAAATCACAATCATGATGCCAAGCTGATGTCGGTAATCCTAGAATAGAAGAACACTCAATCGTTCTTTGGATGAATTCATACAGTAGTAGATCCATCTCGAATTCACGTTTTGATATTGAGTTTGGAAGTCATTTTGAATTTCACAGATTTTCAAACATATTTTTTCAACGCTGTGTGTTATTTGATTGAATTTGACAAACCGATGTACATCTATACATCCAAGTAACGGTTTATAATTCTCACAAAATCAAATTTTCTCTTTTGAAAACAAAAGAAAACAGGTCTACTCACATTTTTAGATGCCACGAAATTTGCATAAAATATCTATCGGTGTAGTAAAAGTAGCTTTTCTAGCACATTTGTAAAAATCACCCACGAAAAGAAGAAAGCAAAATTTGAGAGTAAGACTCTCACACAATATTCTCTGCTCACATTCTATAATAACCGCAACATCACACACCATTTTTATCCTTTGCAGTTGATGCAATATTCAGAACTCACGTGCCGGAAAATGAAATAACAACAACACGTCGTGAATATAATCCATTCTTTGTTACAAGCGCACTGGTTTCTTTTTCGTCTTGTTGCAACTCAGGCGTGCTTAATCCAGAAAGAATAGTAAAAATATAGCTGATTTTTACCATTTCCCGAATCAGCTCGAATATTTAGAGCCGCATCATGTGTAAACGTTGCCTCCATATAGTGGGGGATTAAGTTTTACGTCCTTTACCCGACAATTGTATTGTTTGCCGTTTCAGAGAAAAGGGACATCCTAGTTTCGAAAAGGTAAAGGAAAGATCCCTGAAAGACTGCCATTAATCCTCACATCCACTGAGCTCCAAGCATTCTCTGTGCAGTAAACTCCTCTGTAAGTTGAAAGTGTTCTGCTTTAATGCTCTCGTGTACATGAGGACAGGGCTCGAACTCCGTCAAAGATGTGTTATCAGAACAATTCATATAGTGAGCCTGGCAAGTTTCGCGTTATTCCTAATTGACCGTTCATCTTTGTCAAGGCCCAGCTAAATGAGTTCTGTTGAGTACTATACATGCCATGTAATTTTCTCTGTACAGCTGTTAGTCCAGAAAGTTTAACCAGACACATTATTTTATTTGGAACCACGACCACACACATGTTAGCCATTCTAAAATAAGTTGCTGATCTAGAAATAAGCAAATGTTAATGCGAACACTTCACAAAATTAGAAACACGGATTTAGAGAAAATGTATACGTGCAGAACTCACTCCTTACATATGACTTCTGTTAGAAAACATATCAGGAGTGATCTCCTCTTGAAATTTGGACTCGATAATTTATTGTAACATACCTCAACAGAAGGGTCATTCTGTAAAGCAGAGCTATGTTTTCGTTCAAATGTGGTCGTTACACTCTTCAAGAAAATACTTAATCATCAGACTCAATCAATTTGTACAGTTTGCACAAGTCAACGTGTGTTCTACAAAGACGTAGTAGCAGCGACAGGATACAACTGTTTCAAAATAATAGGTCAGTAAGTTATAACATAAGTCCTTTCAGACGGCAATATTTATCAACTTCTACGAAACCTTGAACTTATAAAGGCAGCCATTCATATGAGAGAATCCCTGTCTATGAGCTTAAAGCGTTGAAAGTAAGTCCGTTGTTCATTCCTCGTGCTAGGATTCGCATCAGCTGATATCAAAATAGAAAATAATTGATAAGTAAATCCATTGAAACTTGGTTGTCTTTTTAAAATAAAGACCAGAGACGGATGTTCCAGTTGGTATTATATTGTAATATTATTATTATCACATCAAATCTCCGAGGGGAATAGAAGTGAAGTATTATGTTGTTTCTCCAGATATGAAAGCCACCAGACCGCTATGAAGACCTACTTCTGCCTGAATTATAGCCAGAGGACTTCGTTATGACTTCACCAGAACGTAATCCGTCCGTCAAGACATTCAGATTCGGCGAACAGCAGAAGATGATCGGCGGAGGGTTATATCCAAACAGGTATCCAGACAGGCGTCGTTGTGCTAGGGATGTGTCGTCGGGATTTGTGAACCTGAGGGCAAGAGTATGAGAGAAATTATATAAAATCGTTTTAAAAATGAACGTATGTGGGTCGTTTATTCTTATCGTATTACAAGTGTCGCTGAAAAATGTGGAAACGAGGCTTACATGTATGGGATTCGAATTCCCGTCTTCTCTTCTGAGTTTGACGACAAAGGCGCCTAATCGCTGCCCCACCAATGCTGGCCTTAGATTATTGGGTTTAAGAGAGTGAAAACGCGAAATCAAAGGGACCGGTACAGATACATTTTGTAAAAACCTCCTCATGGCCTTTGCTCATTCGTGCTTATTGGTTTCTTTCTCGGGGGAAAAGGGGGGGTATACATAAAAGTGTGTTCTCTAAGATTTAAAACTTCACATATTTTCCATGCAAACGCTAATACTCACACATGCACTCACCCAAACACACACACACACACACACACACATACCCACACCTTCACACATATGCCGGCACAAGCGTACCTGCTCTCCTCCTCCCTTCCACAAATACACACACACGCAAAGAGGAACAGAGAGAGAGAGAGAGAGGGT